ACAAAAATACATATATTCTTTTTAATAAATAAATAAATAAATAAATAAATAAAATCCATATGTAGCTCTTCAGCCACATGTATTCACTTAGATTTTAAAAAAAATATGTTCACCCTCACCTCTTTGATCTTATGCCTTCACCTAGGTTTAAAAATATCTCCCATCTCTTTGATCCTGGGCGTTCACCTTCATTTTGGTTTTCCTGGGTTTTCATGGCACACGTGTACATCAGTGGGCATGTGAATGCCAGCTACCTTCCCCTCCCCCCTCCTTTTATTTTTGCACACAAAACCTAACCGGTTTAATTTAATTTTGGTCATTTAGAAAAAAGCTTCTGGAATTTATCAGTGTTGTTCTTCATCCCCAATGTAAATAGCTCGTGTCACCTCAATCCTCAGTGGTCAATCAGTATTTATTAAGGGCTGTCCACTCTGGCCTTTTTCTCCAAGGAAAGCCGCAAGGCAGATTAGATGCTGCCCCTGACACACTGTGTCACTTATCTATTTGTGTTGATGATGAGAGTCAGCTGCACGCAGGCCTCTCTTTCCCCTTCCCTTCCCAGCCCCGCTTACGAGCACCCCTGCTTGGATTTTCATGAGGAAATAATCAGATTAGGCCTTCAGCGATGAGTTCATACGGAGTTCTCTTTTCTCCGATGTGCTACTAACTGAATAAACGTGTTTTGTGGCAAATTGTAAATGACATTATGATTACCAAGGCCAGCATGGGTTTCATTTGAAAAGTGATCAAAATTGCTGGCCACAGAAATTGTGACTGGCAGATAAGGCCGTTTAGTAGGAGGAGGGAGTGGGGGCAACGGGAGAGAAAGGGACCTACTGGGATTCTAGCAACCTGCTTACAAAAGGAGCAACGGAGATCCCAGCCATTTCAAAGAGAGGCTGGCTCAGAAGTGAGGCGTGCAAAGGAGACAGGCTGCATGAGGCGTGGTGGAGTGTGGATATGAGTGGTTGACTCAGCTCTTTGCTGGGACCAGGTAGCAACAATTGTCTTCACCAGTCCAGGAAGGCTTCCAGGTTTTTTTCAGTTCCTTCCTGACAAGAACCACACAAACTAAAAAAGTCACCCTAATCTTGGGGTGCTGGGGGGGAAAATGTAATACAGGCTAATTGGTTTCCACAGGTCCAGCCTTCTGATTTGGATTTGGAAAGTGTTGCCAGCTGAGTTTTCTCTCTTTCTTGAGAGCTACTTTTTTATTTGATTTTGTTTTGTGCTGTGTATGCATGGATGGAGCATCCATGCCTGTGCAGAAGAGTTTGTGGCCATGCATGTTGTATAGGTTCCAGGTCAAATGGATTCAAAGTGACAGACAAAACATTTCTTTATACAAAAATGCCTGTTCCCTCATTCCAGAGGGAATTGCATGGAATTGCAAAGCCGGACAACTGGACGCAATCATGACCTGGCCAAACTGGGTGGTGTTGAGGCAGCAACAGCAACGGATGGAGCTGTAACCCAACACATTAGCTCCCAACCCCCAGCCAGTGTTCTGCCATCAACAATATCAAGAATGCTTTTATTTAAGCATACTTTTAAGAGGCTTCTCACCTTTATCTCTACAGAGGAAGTGATGCAGAAATTACACTCCCTCAGCATCTGAAACAGCTTGGCCAACAGCATTCAGGCCATTTAGGTGTTGCTTTGCTACTCGAGTGTAAATAAGGAAACCTGAAGAAGGGAAGCAATCCTGGGAATCTTGTGCCTTTATTGACCCAGGGTCATACTGGGGGCTTAAAGGGTCTTTTCCATACCCACATAAATAAGTAGTGAATTGCAAGGAATGGTATAAAACTAACTCAATAATTTCCATTATTCACTTTGGAATCAGTTGCTAAAGTGAGCAATGGAAGTTCCAATCTTTAAATCCATATTTGCAAAACGTTTCCATACTTCAAGTCTATTCAATACATTTTCTCTGACTCAACAAACATATAAGTTTTCTTTTTGAGATTCATACATTTCTCAGTAACTTTCCGAAGAGCAAAAAACTGGATCTGTACACCCCTTGCTTGGCATAAAGCCACACTACACTTCCCAGTTGTTGCCCGTTATCATCTCTTGTACCATTTTAATCAGAATTCTGTGAAACATGTTCCAGTCATATAGTTTTTGCATTCACTTTGGCTACTTTTCTTTTTATGTAGGGGAACAATAACAGCCTTCTTCCAATCACTGGGCACATATCCAGTCTTGCCACATAAGTTAAACAAGTCACATGACCACTTTGTAAGCAAACAACATCCATATTTTAACATTTCTCCAATTTACATTTTTTTAACGTTCTCACATTTATGAATTCCTTTTCAGCTTTTTAAAGTATTTTTTTTTATTATCCTCATTTTTTGCAATAATAATAATAATTCCCTTTCCTCATCCACAGCCTCTTTTATTTCATCATTCCACCAAGCACCCCTTTCCATACTTCCCATTAGGAAACTCTACACACTTCAGTGGCACTTGGTAATATAATTCTGTTCCAAGCAGCTTCCACATCCTCTTTCCATGCATCCATTTTCTGTTCATTCTGTTGTGAGATCACTCTATCATCTAATACTTTTTCATACAGGATTTGTACTTTTTCTTTCTGCTTTCATCCTAATTCCTTTGACTTCTTTTTCTTCCATATTTATTTATTACCAAGATCCACTCTTGACAATACCAGTAAATGATCTGTTTCACATTCAGCCTTGTATCATCACTAATTTCCCAAGTCTTTATCATAAATGATCTGATCAGTCACATTTTTATATTTATATTCATTACTTTGCTTTGCATGTATAAAAGGAGTTATGTGTCAACTCTGTTTTTGAAACAATAATTTTCTAAGCAGATTATACCAGTCAGCATTGCCAATCGTTCTTGTGTCTCCAAATGGCAGATCACTTTTTAGTGCCCTCTGATCTCATTCCCACCTATTCATTCATGCCACCCAGTAGAATAATTTTCCCCAGATTGCATTTCTTATGTTTTTATAGGTTTTAAAGCTTTCACACTATTTTAATTTTTTTATGTTGTAAACCACAGGAAGTCATTTCTGTTGAATCCACTGGTATGTAAACACAACAAACAAACAAATGTATAATTCAGAATGTTCCACTATTTTTCTCCCAACTCTTCTGATTCTTCCATTTTTGTCATTCATTAGAATGAAGTATGCAACCATCACCAATGTATGGATTTCTATTTTCATACACACCCACAGCAACATAGCTGATACCAATTCATATTTCATGACATACATTTTAGTCCTTTCATTTGTAATTAAGCCTACAGTTTCACTTTCCTGAAGGTATTCAGCAAGTCTACTCTGTAAGATCAAACTACCCTCATTCTGATCTACCTTTCTTCTGTAAGTTTTCCAGACTGATAATGTACCCATTTCTGTTTCTTTCATTTCCTTTGTTAATTCATGTCATTTCTTCAACTTACATTTCAAGTCACAAGCTTGCATATGTCAATAGCTTTTCACCAAATAGGCCCATAACGATTGACCTTCACTGCCCATGATGGTCAGTTGAGGCTTTCATATAATGCTTTTTAGCCAGCTGGAGTAGAGTTAAATGAGGTCCCCACCATTGGTTGCACTTGTGCCACATGTAGCATTCCCTGCTAGTGGAAAGGACAGTACCAGTCGGTTTTGGCATATTTGGGGCAGTGGTGCTACAAGCACAACCAAAGTCCAATTTTACTTCAAGGATGGTCATACTATTTTTTGCAAGTTAGAATCTCTAATCTAGCGACTACTTGGAAGACAACATATTGTTGTCTTCATCTAATTAACTAGAAGATATATGCAGCATATGGGCACAGACTCAGGATGGGCACTAACTTAGGATGGTTTAAAGCAAAACATCTTAAAAACTATGCCTTATGAAGTTGGCACTTTTTATATTTAATCTGAAATGGAAGAATGTATCAGATAAGGAGGAGTCCAGGCTAATTTCTTTCACAGTCACTAGCAAAAGTTCTTCTGGGAAATGTAGTTTGTTGTTCTACTGTGAATTTTTTTCCTGAGAACCAATATGCTCTAAGCCACTATTTACTGTTGAAACTGAAGCACACTAGCTCTTTTTGATGGTAACTTTTAAATATTTTAGAATTATCCTTAAGAATATCTTTTTTTCTCCCTGGGATGAGGAAAGTCAGTTTCAGCCCCTGCCCCAAACACAATCTGTTCATCAAATGATGTAATAGTTGCTGCTCCATTCAGAATTTTCATTAATTTATTTTCATCATTAAATATAATATTCAGAACTGGATAATCTCTGCTTTCTGGAGGAATATCAGCTAGGGATGCTGGAGGTTTTTGCTTGAGCTGCATAAATGAACAAATCTGATTTGCATTTTTCAATATGCGGATCAGAACATAGTTACGCTTCAGCTTTTGCATTTCTCTGAATTTTGGGAGTCTTACAAGTCTTAGGTTCAACAAAAATATAACATTCTGTGAATACAAATTCTTTTTTGCATATGAAAATATGTAGATTAGAATACAACATATATTTTAGGATAAAATGCAAATGTTGTAGAGAAAAAAATAATGCGGTTTTGGTACCATTATTTCTTTCAAAAGTATTGATGCAGAAATGGATGGAATAAATTCATATCAAATTGTCTCAGATTTGAAATTATCCCAATTAATAGGATATATTTGGCAAAGTTGTATAAACTTCTTCCTTTCTGATTATATTAATAATGTAATTGATTGCATATCTCACAAGTTAAAATAAATAACACAATTTTTTTTAACAAAAATGCCTTTATCCTATTATTTTTTCCATTCAAAATAGATATATGAATATCTGTTGTTATTCCTTTCCCCACCCATATCTAGAATTTCTAACATATTGGAAACTGAAATAGTGTACAATTGCTTTTCAAATACTGTGTTAAGAAGAATGTTAGGTTCTAGAAGACTGGTGACTAAAATTATAACAGTTGTAAATCTTGCTGATTATTTTTTAAAAATTATTGTTTAACAGGCATCTACAGGGAAGAAAGAAAATGCATTCTCGAACCTTTATCCAATATTTATTTCTGTCACGAAACTGACTATGGAATGGTGATTTTGGAAAGTATGGATACAGATTTAGATCATAGGAACTTCTCTCCACCTTTATTGGTAACTAGTACTTTTGTGGACACCTTCAGTGAAGCCACATCACTGGGAACTTGCTGTTCCAAAGAACTTTCTTTGGTTTTTTACTCTATACTGCCATCAAACAGGCTTTCAAAGATTTGCTTTGCTGGACCAGTTCCTTGGTCATTAAGACTCTACTTTAATGGCGGTCACGGTAATGTCAGCTTACTTTTAGCTATCTTCTATGATGAACCAAGAAGCTTTCATGTTTTTGTGAAAGAGAACTCTATTCAACCAGTCTTGTTTTTTTCCAGACTTTTTTGGGAAAATGCCACAACAGGAACCTTTTACTTCAGTTTTCAGGAGAACCTTCTGTATGTTTCTGTTCCCTGGGATGAACCTGTAGAAATACATACAAACAGTGCTCTTCATACTGCTTTCACCATAGCAGAGAACACTGGAGAAAAAGCTCAGGCAATGCTTCTTCAACAGTTGGCTAATTTTTTACAAATTGGGCAGGATGAAATTAGGACAGTCTCCAACACTTCAGGAAATGAGGACACATTAAGGATTATTGCAGACAATAGCACGAAGAGGAAATATCAGTGCCCTCCGAAGAGTTCATGCGTATTCACCAGTGAACAGAAAACCCAGGGGAGTTTGCATCCATCCCATGTAATACTTGGCTTGAGAGTGCTGATCCTCGAAATCAGTGATCCATTACACTTCTTAAAATATAAGCTTGCTTCTTCATTTCCAAGTGTCAGATTAAAGAGTTTGGCCAGTAGGCTTATTGATGCCCAACAAACTGGGACACTTCAGCATGTTCTCAGATTGCCAGTTGATACTCTAGTGGTGATGGTTTCCTCCACTTCAGTTACAGCAAAAGAAAATTCTAGGTAAGTGTGCTGATTGTTAAATATTTTTAATATTCATATTAAATAAAAATACTTTTAAAATGTCAAAACTAACTATATCAAACACAAGCAAAGGATTGTTGTCCTTCCTTAGATATAGGGTTCACTGAATAGGATAGGGGACTTCTTTTTCAGTTACCATGCATAGTAACGCTGTGCAGCAGCTCTCAAAGAGCTCTCAAAGAGTACATGGAACACAAATGGAACACCTAGTTGCAACCACATGATCTAGGGAAAAAGGCAGAGTTGCTTAAAGGTGCTCCAAGCATATGCTACATTCCTACTTCTGTATGTTCTGAAGCAGTTTTGGAGTTTGAATCTGAACTGCTGAACATGCCTAATGTGCTTTTTTAATAATAGTAATAAGAATTTTGTGAGAATTTTGTCTATAACCCATTTGGGTGCCTTAAACCTATGTTTGTTTGTTGTATTTACAGCTCACCTGCTATTTGGAGTAGCTTCTAGCAGGTTATATACCATAAAAACAGACAACGATATTTAAAACCAAACAAATTAAATAATGAATAAATTTAAAACCCAGAAGAGCAAATAAATGACAGAAACTGAGAAGCACTTAAATAAAAATCCAAGCATTTACCTAGTGCTGAAAGGCAGATCGTTTAAGTGCCAACCTGGCCTCTAGAGGAAGGGCAATACAAAGCCAAGATACCACAATAGTGAAGGCCTTCTCCATCATCCCGTGTACTTCTTCCAGTCAGCAGATATTGAAAAGCCATCCCACTTTAGATCTTAATATTTGGGCACATACATATGGGGTGAGGTGGCTTCTCAAGTATTTGGCTCGTAAAGCATGAAGGGCTTTAAACATAATCAATAAGAGATTAAAGCACAACTGGTCATGTATTAGCCAGTGCAATCCTTTTAGGACTTGTCTGTGGTCTTTTACAGGTGTTCTGGATAAGAAATATGCAGCTGCATTCTGCACTAGCTGCAGCTTCCAAGTCATCTTCAAGGACAGAACCATATAGAATGTATTGCAGTAAACCAAATGGGTAGTTACCAAAGCATGGGTTATTAGGGACAGACCATCCTTGTCCAGAAAGATTTGCAACCACTAGAGTATGCATAGCTGGCTAAATGTACTCTGGGCCACTTGAGCCTCGAATAGCAGAGATGAATCTGAGAATATATCAAGGCTGTAACCCTTGCTCCTTCAGGCAGAGGGCACACCATACATAGTCGGGAACCTACCCAGCTCCTAGACCTTTGAGACATCATCCCACAGTGCCTCCATCTTGTTATGCTTTGCTTCTAGTATATGAAACTCCATAACAAGCTCCTCTAAAAAGCCATCATATCACAGCAATATTTTACACCTAGAAATAGTGGGTACCCACTGAGCGTGCCAAACAACAAGTTCTGTAAATACAAGATACATACAACAAAATTGGAATCCTCCTCCCAATATAACTGCAGAAACAGCAGCATCAGTTACTTAACAAATAATAATAATAATAATAATAATAATAATAGTAATAGTAGTAGTAATAGTAATAATCCAGTATTTAAAAAGTATTGTTAGCCATCCAGATTCATGTACTTTAGTTGAGCAGCCATATAAATTCAATCAATTAAGTATATAAAATAAAATCGGTTCTGGGAATGACATTGAATCAGCCAGTAATTTCTATTCCACAATGATAGAAGTGTTAGGAAGGAAGGGAAATTCATTCAAAGCAACTTTTAGAAAGTAGTCGCTCATATCATCTTGTAGAGGTGTGGGAATGCACTGCCCTGCCCGTTTCTCATATGCTGGACTTCAAAAAGCAGGTAGAGTATGGGGCAAAATTGAAATTAAAATTTGGCATGTTAAAATACACCTTTTTTCCATCTTTCTATCAGAATAGAATAATTGGTACAATGTTACTTATACAAGTCTTTTCTCAAGAATTGTTACCTTTGAACAGTAAATTGAATATTGTAATCCAGTTAAGATTTTAGGTGGAGAGAGTTATGTCTGCATCCCTCTACCTATATACTCTAAGAGCCTCTGACACACATGAACAGTTTTTTAAATTTAAAAAAAAAAGTGAAACACCCAACTTCCTTCATAATACCTTTGGTCAACCTTTGGTGATCTCTTTAAAATGCTAATTACCTTTTAGCCTACATTATGAGTACCTCCAATTATCCTATTTAAGAGGCAAGGAAGAGAGCTTTGGGAGTGAGGAGTGATAACTTCAAGGAAAGTACCAAGTAATAAAATGCATGACTGTGCATAATTCATGTCCAGCCCAACTATTGATATGGAGAAAATCTATCTACATAGTCACTGAGAGTTGACATTGACTTGATGGCATTTAATTAACAGCCTAACTATGCAAGCTTTTGTTTTCCAAAATTCTGTTTTCTGACTGATTTTATCTTTACCACTTGCCATTGTAAGAAAAAACTCTGAATAATCTTGAGAAGGAATACAGTCATAAAGAGTAGAAAAACTAATCTCAAAATTTTGCTTAAACATTTACATACAAATTGACTTTTTAAAAATAGATAATTCATGTTCAAGGAAGTTTTGAAAATGATAGGGGAAAGTAGGTAAAGGCTTTTACTGAATAATAAGTAGCTAATATCCTAACTTCATTTACTGAAATTGACTGGATTTGCTTTGAATAGCCACATATCAGATAAATCTATCTTCTTTTGTGCATTTCAACATGAAATACACTTTGAGATATTCTCCATACACATATAGACATCCTTTCTTGGTGTCAAAATTCAGCAAAAAATTTTTCTAAAAAAATTCCCTGAGACTAGTCATTTTTTCCAGTAAAGGTAAACTTTAGTCATAAGCCACTTCATCACCTCTTTCAAAGTCAACATTCATTTTTATGTAGCTATATTGTACTTGAACTATTTTCATGTAGGTACATATATTTTCACTTACAGCAATGGCAATGCCAAAGGAAATTGGAAATTAGTGACATGCAATATCCTTCTGTCTCTGTAACAGTCAGTATTCTTTAAAGTCACATATTCATCAACAGATATACTATGTATATTAAAGTCTCATCTCAGAATGTAAGAATATGTAAGACATTTTACATTATATTCTTGTGCTACAAACTTCATTAGTTTGGGTTTTGGCTATGTATTCATTTTACAATCCCACACTTTTACTTCAAATTAGCATCTGACAGAATGGAACAATATTATAATATCATATTAACCCAAATACTGAATGAGAAAAGGGCTGTAATATTGAATAAGAACAGACTAAAAATCAAAGGCCCAAATAAATAAAAAGGATTTTATCTGCTACTCAGATATACTCGGGATGTGGGTGGGGAGTTCAATAGATATTACTAAAAGGGTCCTTTCTCAGTTGCCACATATTTTGTTTCAAGACAGGACTATCCATGTTGGCTTTATGCTGGAAAAATGATAGAATATGCTACAAATATGTTGTCAACAATCACCATTTTCAGAAACTGATATATTTGTTAACTGAAGAATTAACAACTTCCAAATCAAGATGGATGTGATTTTATTCTTTAAATATTTAGCAAACATCCCAGCAGTTTTCAAATTTCTAAACAATCTCCAGACTACCCAGGAAAACAGTAGACTGGACAGCACTCTACAACACACCTTCCTCCCCTGACAAAGACTAGGCTTTAAAAGAACTACTTATATAATTTCTATCACTTGCATTTTAGTTGTCATTCCATCTGTTTGCTTGTCCAACTCTCTGTGGTAAACAGATAGGACTTTATTAAGAGAATATAGCTAGGAAGAATCATATTAATCACCTCATCATTGCCCATTTTGTAGAAGTTCCCTACCGGGATTCAAGAATGCATTCGGATCCATCTGCCTAACTGACATTGTTGGTCAACTGTGCACTAGTGGTGCTGCTAAGGACAGGCTATGTGGCAGAGCTTTAGAGCACAGCAGTCTGATGAAGTGCAAAATAGCAATCTGCCCATTCTGATATTTGCTCAGAATTTGAGTGTTCAGCAATAGGTGGGTTAAAAAGGTTAATACTGTGGAGGGTAATAATTGCTGTCTATCAGCATAACCATCATTGCAGAACAATAACAAAAGAGTTAAGACAAAATATCTCTTATGCAGTGATAAATTTCTTGCCAAATCAGAAAAAATTCAAAAGAATAAATTAATGTACTTGTGGCAATGGCTTCTTGGAGTGTTGTAACAGCTGTATGGCAGCCATGATGGAGTTCAAATGACAAGTGGAAATAACAGTTGCAGCTTGTTGTTTTCTCTGTCTCAGAGTCTTGAACAGAAGTAGTTTTCTTAAAAGTCCCACAAATGTCACTATTACCTGAAAATAAAATGGTTGGAGCAATTAATTGTATGGCTAGCTATGTTATAGATGAACTCTGTTTAATCTGATTTCAGTTGAATTAGGAATCACTGGATCATTTTCATGCACAACCTCATACTCCTTTATTTACTTATAATGATTTTAATCTGTTCATTCATTATGCTTGTCTGGTTGGATTACATTAAATATTAATTTGTAAGGGAGTAAAACAGTAGAATAATAAAATGCAATTAATAAATAACAGAAGATGACCAATTTGGTGTAGTGGTGAAAGGCACTAGAGTAGAAGCTAGGAAACCATGATTTCTAGTCCTGCTTTAGTCACAAAATCCAACTGAATAACTTTGGGCCAGTCATTTTCACTCAGCCCTAGAAAGAATGTACTAGCAAGCCATTTCCAAAAATGTTGCCAAGAAAATTGCATGGAGTTGTTCGTCCAGTTACAAGGAGTCGCAGTTGACTCCATGGACCATATTAACAATACTAGAAAGTCAATCTGATCTCGTGGTAGATGAAAGCCAGTTGGGTGACCTTGAGTGAAACATTCCCTCTCAGCCCAAGGAAAAGGCAATGGCAACCATTTCTGAAAATGCTGCCTCTGACTCAAAGGTTAAAAAAATACAAAACATTGGAAATAGAAAGGACTTAAAATCAAGTTGATCTGAAAACTATA